GAGATCTGCGAAGACATGTACGTCGAGTACCACGTCCTCCCCTCCGACGAAGAACGCGGCCCGTTCCGCGTCATCTGCGTCTGCCACGAAGCTTGCGGTGCGCAAGCCGCCGTCCTCTCATCAGAGACCGGGGAGTGGCAGGTCTTCCCGTTTGTGGAGGCCGCAGCCATGCAGCCTGGGGACGACAACGAGAAGTGTTCTGGCAACGGGACGCTGGTGAACGGGTCCATCTATTGGACAGACGGGAGCCGAGCCCTTGCGCGCGTGCTGAACACCTCGACATTGCACTTCTCTCGCATCGACCTGCCTCCGCACATCGAAGGGCAAGGAGCGCTCACGGCTGGTGAGACCAAGGATGGGAGGCTCTGCATCATCAGCACCGTCAAGCTCACACTTGTGGTTTGGTTCCAGAGAACCGATGATGATGGTGTCGAGAGATGGACGCAGCACAAGACATTTCCGTTAGAGCAGGACATTCATGCGCACGATCACTGCTTCGACCATGATCACATTGCGCTGAAGATTCTGGCGATTGTCAATGGCTTTGTGTACTTGTCTACTTACTGTGAGCCGGATCGCGATTTGCCTGGTTTGTTCCTGTCCTTCTGCCTAGAAACAGCAAAGCTGAATAAGCTCTGCACTATCCTTTACCCTAACAGTTTGTATCCCTACATCATGGCGTGGCCTCCTTCTTTGGTGCTCAACGAGGTGAGTCCTTGAATCAAGGTCCTTGACAGGCCGTCTTCTGCAGAAATACAAAATCTCCTACTTTTATTGCACCCTTATATCTCATGGAGATCTGACATGGTAGTATATTTATGAAAACTAGAAACAAATTTGAGCTTACTTCCGTGCATCGAGAAGTATTCGATAGGGATCAGCAACATTTATAAATTGTCAAGTGGGAAATGACTTGTTTTTCTAGTGTGCTTCGAACGACGGTCATTATTTACCTTTCTCTTATAATATGTATTAACGTATTAAATGGTTTATCGTATAAATGTTAAGTGACATGCTGACCCTGATTATATATCAAACGTAAAATTGGCATGGATGAAATTAATTAATTTGCTAGAGTTTGTGTTCCATTACTTTTAGAAGTACGTGTAGTTAGAAACTCATCCTCTCTACGATTGGCAGTTGAGATATTGGGACTGATAAGTACATTGTACATGCGGGCATAACAATCTCTAGAGGCGATTAAAAAAAAACTCTAGAGGCGATCCAGATTTTGACTTGTGATGATAAAGCAAAAAAGCATGCAGGATGGTAACTAATAACTAGTGCTGTCATTTGGATTGCCAGAAGAAAGTCAAATTCCATGTTAATCTTGTTTCTTGAATTCTGCAAAAACAGCTTATCCAGGGTAGCTGATTGCATGTTTTAAAAAAAAATGCAGCCCACCAGAAACTACTGAAGTGACATGTGCTCAGTGCGCTGCATCATTCATACGCACACAGAAAAAGGAACATCTGTACAAGTTCTTTGATGCTACAGAGCTTGATGAAACTACTGAAGCAACATGTACTCGTTGCTGCGCTGCACCATTCATATGCTCCCTGAGGCGTAGAAGGAGAAAGTCTGTTCCAAGTTCTTTCATGCATCATAGCTTGACTGGGCTAGAAGTGGAATTGCAAGTTATGGCTACAACATGCTAGACTTGGGCCAGAAGTGGAATTAATTATCTTCTCTTAGAACTATCAATATACTTTAAAAAAACTTCCAAAGATCTGAAATGAAGTTATGCCATGCTGTTGCTCAATTTTTCATTGTAGTGGTAGATATTGTTGCATTTCATAATAAGGATAATTAAGGATAATACTCCCTCCGTCCCAAAATAAGCGTCGTTCATTTGGTATAAAGTTGTACTAACTTTGTACTAGATCAGCTACACTTATTTTAAGACGGAGGGAGTATTAATTATCTCCTCTTAGAACTGTTTTATTTATACCCGCAAAGATCTGGGATGCACTAATGAACGATCGCGCGAGCACTGGAGTTGCATGAACTGGAATGACGCCGGTGCGCGCTCTTTCGCTCGAGGAATAGATATTTGTGGCGTTTTGGACTTCGGGGGTCATATGTAAAACGAAAAGAGTCAAGAGTTTTCTCTGTGTACCATTGAAGCGTATGAAAGCGAAAGCGGAGGCACCAGACACATTTCTTTCCTTCACAGCCAACCAAACCGCCTTTCATTTTGATACGTACTAGTACATGCTTTACTAGCTTCTCCACTTTGTCACTATATTTCTTTAGACTAAACTTGAAGGAAATCATATTCCAATATGCTCTATATGTCTGTGTTGATCGGAAATAAATATGCTCCGCCTTTATCTACTTTGCTTCTTTTCCTGCCTTGTCGGTTTAACCACGTCGATCTTTGTCAGGCCCGAGAAGTCACAGGTGCTTGATTACAGTTAATTATCCAGCAAGTTAACAGTACTTTGTGCATGTCCTGTCATGTAGCCAGGAGAAGCATATAAAGAGGGAGGAGTGTGAGTGGGGGGAAAGGCCCAAAGGCACGTCACGCAGCA